TCATGTGGCTCAGGAGTCACGGTTTGCTACCTGTTGACTACTGAGTTTGCCGACCACTGTCATATACTACCCTTTACCTCTTTGTACACAGTATGCCACCATTGCCTAATCTTCACAGTTTCCAACTAGACAGTAACATTTAGTCTAGTCCAGTGGTCGGCAAACTCAGAGCGGCAAACCGCTGAGCTAACCTAAACATGAGTGAACAGGGAAAGATGGGGGGAAACTCAGGCCCTCAGAATGAGGTTCTGCTGGTAACCTGCTGTGCTATGTTTAAAATCTATCTAAATAAAAATTAAAGGAATTCATGAGAAATTGCAGTAGGTATGCTCACACACTCACCCTTTTTTATTTATGACACTCTCCCATCTGTTTTGGTTCAGGATTTAATGAAGCAACAGGCACACCTTGCACCGAGGTCCTCGGTGCTCCCACCACCGGGTGGTTATGAACAGGCCCACGTGGCAGGGAGGAGACGCCCTGTATGTACGCGGAGCTGACTGAGGAGGAAGATTAGGGTAGCTAGGTATGTCATAAACACCTTCTCTCTCCCCTGATCACTTTCTGTCAGATAAGACTGCCCACCAAGGACTGACTGTCCAAGCAAAGGCCTCTGATCCCGTGGAGAGGAAAGCAAGAGGCTTTGACCACTATTTGAAGGGGCGACTACACAGGCATCCATGACTGCAGACACTTGGAGTGTTCCTAGTGCATATAAAGTACCAGATGTTCCTCTATTTTATTCCCTATTTTATTTAATATTTTAAATTTTACATCACTGTTTAGTTTTTCACATTATAGTTTATGTGGGAAAACTCTTATATAGCCGATCACAAGTGTTTTTCCACATAAAACATTTTTCTAGGTGTCAATTAGTAATCACAGTGACATACAAAGTAGGAATAGAAACATATTCATATGCAAAAATAGCATTATTCTTGTAAGCAATTCTAACAATTAAAATGTACAAACAAAACACGTAATTGTAGCTGATATTTAAGGCCCCAAGAATTTCTAGGTAATGAACCCTAAAGTCTAATGGGAGGAGAGTGCACGGTGACAGTTCAGGGCAGGGGCAATGTTCTCTGAGTGTACAGACCCTTCCTGCTTCCCTACAGCCAGCAGGTCACTGAGGACAGGCAGCCAGTGAGCTGGCCGCAGCCAATAGGCCACATGGTGCCCCTGGTTTACGTTTCCTATGGTAAAAGTTAAAATAGGAATATCTCCTATGATCATAGGGCATATTTTATTTTTATAAGAAAAGATGAGGATGGCTCCATGGGGGGGGGTTTTACCAAAGAAGAACTAACATCTATCCTCCCGAAACGATCCCCCCCCAAAAATAAAATAAAATCCCAAGAGAAAGGAATACTTCCAATCTCTTTTAATGAGGCCAGGATTATCCTAATTCTAAAACCTGGTAGACATTACAAAGAAAGAGAATTACAGGCCAATATCCCTGATGAACATAAGATGTTAAAATCCTCAACAAAATATTAGCAAATCAGATCCAGCAACATATTAAAGAGATCATACACTATGACCAAGTGGGATTTATCTCAGGGATACAAGGCTGGAACAATATTTGCAAATAAGTGAATGTGGTATGTTAAATAAACAAATTGAAAAACAAAAATCACATGATCATGTTCACAGATGCAGAAAGGCATTCAAAAAATCCAACACCCATTTTTGATAAAAACTCTTGGCAAAGTGGAACGGAGGGATCATACCTCAACATAATAAAGGCCATATATGACAAACCTACAGCGAACATCATACTCAATGGACAAAAACTAAAATCATGTCCCCTAAGAACAGGAACAAGACAGGGATGCTCACTTTTACCACTCCTGTTCGCCACAGCACTGACTGGAAGTCCTTGCCAGAGCGATCAGATGATAAAACATAAAAGGTATCCAAATTGGAAAGAAGGAAGTAACACTCATTATTCGCAGATGGCATGTTATTGTACATGGAAAATCTTAACTCCACCAAAAAAACTACTAGATTTTTAAATAAAGCAATTTGGCATTGTAGCAGGATACAAAATTAGCACCCAGAAATCGATGGCATTTTTATACATTAACAATGAATTCTCAAACTAAACAATCTCATTTACCATAGCAACAAAAACATTAAGATACCTATGAATAAACTTAACCAAGGAGGTAAAAGACTTATACTTGGAAAACAACAGGACGTTGTAAAAAGAGAGGAAGATATAAATAAGTGTTCCTGGATTGGTAGAATTAACATCAAAACGTCCATACTACCCATAGCAACCTACAAACTCAATGCAAACCTTATTAAAACGCCAATGGCATATTTCACAGACCTAGAATACTCCAAAAATTTATATGGAACCAAAAAAGACCCCCCAGAATAGCCACAGCAATCTTGAGAAAGAAAAACAAAGTTGGAGGGATCACAATATCAGATATCAAATTATACTACAAAGCCATTATAATCAAAACAGCCTGGTACTGGCACAAGAGCAGACATATAGATCAATGGAACTGGACAGAGACCCCAGAAATCAACCCAAACCATTATGCTCAATGAATATTTGACAAAGGAGGCAAGACATCCAATGGGGTCAATACAGTCTTCAATAAATTGGACAGATACATGCAAAAAAATGAAGCTAGACCACCAACTTATGCCATAAACAAAAAGAAAGCCAAAACGGATAAAAGACTTAAATGTAAAAAAGTGAAACTTTATCTTAGAATAAATCATAGGCAGCAAAACCTCAGGGATCTCTAATAGCAATATGTTTGCAGATATATCTCCTATGTTTGCAAACTGGCTCACGAGCCACATGTAGGCTCTTTGGCCCTTTGAGTGTGGCTCTTCCACAAAATACCACGGCCTGGGCAAGTCTATTTTGAAGAAGTGGCATTCGAAGAATTTTAAATTTAAAAAATTTGGCTCTCAAAAGAAATTTCAATCACTGTACTGTTGATATTTGGCTCTGTTGACTAATGAGTTTGCCCACCACTGCCCTAGGACAGTGGTCGGCAAACTCATTAGTCAACAGAGCCAAATATCAACAATACAATTGAAATTTCTTTTGAGAGCCAAATTTTTTATACTTAAACTATATAGGTAGGTACATTGTTATTAACTTAATTAGGATATGTGGTATTTTGTGAAAGAGCCACATGTGATCATTGTCCTAGGGCAAAGGAAACTAAGGAGAAAACAAAGGGGACTGCATCAAAGTAAAAGGTTTGGCACAGCAAAAGAAACCATCAACAAAATGAAAAGGGAGTCCAATGTGAGGGAGAACTACACTGAGTGGCCAGATTATTATGTCCTCTGAACACATAATAATCTGGCCACTCAGTGTATATCCTATATAATAAAAGGCTAATATGCAAATTGTCCCCCAAACCAGGAATTCAACCAGTAGGCAGGCTAGCCAACAGCCCCTGGCCAGGCTGGCTGGACCCCCCCATCACCCCATGTATGAATTCATGGGGGAGCCTCTAACATATAAACACACACATTGAGTGGCCAGATTATTATGCATTCAGAGATCATAATAATCTGGCCACTCAGTGTATTAGGCAATGATACATCTGATAAAGGATTAATATCCAAACTAGGAACTCACACAACTTAACAAAAGGAAAACAAGCCAATTGAAAAATGGGCAAAGGACTTAAATAGACTCTTCTCCAAAGTGGACATACAGATGACCAAGAGACATATGAAAAGAAAAATGTTTAAAATCACTGATCATCCAAGACATGTGAATTAAAGTGACAATGGGGTATCACCTCACATCTGTCAGAATGGTTTTCTATTTTGCATAACGTATAACTTTTATAGAACATATAACACATTTAACATTTGTCATATGTTTGGCTAAGTCCTTGCCCAGCTCACTGCATTCAACTGTTGTAACCTAATAGAACCGCATACCTGTACTCATTCATGAACTGTTCTGAACCCGCACAAATTGCATTACTCTTGATGAGCACCGAATTGGATCCATCTTCTGGGGTTGCCTCAGAAAGCTTTATCATTTTGTTTGACTTATTTATACGGCTGGGATGGAGCAAGGGGTAGGAGGGAATGGTAATATTAATATACCTCTAAGGTTGCACATTCATTTAAATAAGCAACAATGGGTGCTACAAAAATAAAAATCTTACTGTCCAAAATTCTTTACAATCAAATTAAAAATTGTCCCAGAAGTCGTATTGTTAGTAGTTAAACTAAATATAAGCTTTATTGACTGGTAGGTGTATTGTGGGTGAATTCCTGTGGCTAGAGGCCCTTAACTTTTGAACTTCCAGGCATGTGAGTGGGAGAAAACAAAAAAACAAACAAAAAAGCCTCCCTTGGAAAGAATATAAATTAAGATACCCATAAATGTATTAGTGAATGGCCGAAATCAGTTTGGCTCAGTGGATACAGCTTCGGCCTGCGGACTGAAGGGTCCCAGGTTCGATTCCAGTCAAGGGCATATACATTGGTTGCGGGTACATCCCCGGTGGGGGGTGTGCAGGAGGCAGCTGGTCGATGTTTCTCTCTCATCAATGTTTCTAGCTCTCTCTCTCTCTCTTCCTTCCTCTCTGTAAAAAACCAATAAAATATATACTTTTAAAAATGTATTAGTGAATGCTTCACTTTCTTAGTATGTTCACCAAACCACATGCCCCATGTTTGCGCTTAAATGTCATCTGAAAACAATATTGAGATGATTCTATAAAAGGAACATCTCTAAGACATAAAGATATAATGATATAAATAATGAATAGGTTTCTAAGACTAGCTACGACCTCGCTAGTCTTTATTTTTCTGCATACATCCAGGCAGACTTGCTTCCTGGTGGTTCATTTTTAGCCCATTTCAAAATACGCATTTGACATTATCGAATGGCTTCGCTCCCTGACATGAAGAGATTCCAATGTACCCAGTTCCTCGTTACCTGGGATGGGATGGGCTGCCTACCATCACTGATGGATCGGACGGGAGTGACTTACTGTTTGAGTTCTGTGGGTACCCGGGCAGGGAGGACGGCCCGTTCATCCCGGGGAGGAGGACCGGCGGGAGCCCGGGGAGGCCCGGGTAGGCCGCGGGGAGGCCGATGCCGTGGAGCGGGCCGCTGTCCACCACGCCGGGCTGCTGCACCGCCAGGCCCAGCACGTCCGACGCTTTCTTGATGCGGTCGAGCTCCTGCTGCGCCATGAGCTGCCGCACGGTGGTGGGCGCCAGGTAGTCCTTCTCCCGGTCCAGCTGGCTGCCCACCGTCTCCCTCACCTTGGCGATGTGCTGTTTGGAGAAGATGTGGTCCCGGATGGACAGGCGGGCCGAGTACTTGACGGCGCACAGCGCGCACTCGGGCTTGGTGCCCTCGCCCCCACCGCCGCCCTGGGTGACCGTGAACGGCTTCCCGATGTTGACCTTGAACTTCTTCTCCTTGGCGCGCGCGTTCTGGAACCACACCTGCACCACGCGCTTGGGCAGGCCGATCTCGCTGCCCAGCAGCTCGCACTCCTGCATGGTGGGCGTGCGGTAGTCCCCGAAGCACGCCTTGAGCACCTTGAGCTGCAGGTTGCTCATCTGAGTCCGGAACCGCTTGTGGCCTGGCCGGTGGTGGTCATTGCTGCTGCTGCTTTTGGACTTGAAAGGGTTGCTGCCACCGGACCCGGACCCGGACCCGAAGGGGTTCGGCGAGCTCGGGTCGGCGATGCTGGACGTCTCGCTGCGGTCGGCGGCGTCGTCGGGGTCGTCGGTGATGTAGAAGCTTTGGTCCTGGTCGCCCATGTCCTTGTCGCTGAAGTGCACGGAGGAGGGGCTGGTGAGGGCGAAGAGGAACTTCTCCTCCTCGCACGCCTCCGCGGGGGGAGTGGCGGCGGCGGTTTTTGGCAATGCATCGAGGGCTCTGGGCTCTTTGGGGGACAGGGCCGGCTTCCCCCCGTCCCCGGAGCCCCCCAGGGTGCTCTCCACCTCGGCGCCGGCCTCGTCGCCCGTGGATGCGTCGCTGAGGGCTGTGGTCACGGACGACGTCTCGTCCAAGTCCGCGGCCGCTTTGCTCGGGTCGTAGGCGGCCTCGGCGGCGGCGGGAGGGGCGCCCAGGGTCTCCCCATCCTCGGGGCCCTCGGCCTTGAAGGACGACGACGAGGGGCTGAGCAGGCGCTTGGGGGACAGCTCGGCCGTCTTGCTCGCGGGCGTGGACGCGGTGGACGCCAGCTCGTTCTCGCTCGACGGGTCGCCCTTGGCCAGCGGCAGCGGCGGGTAGTCGAAGTAGATGTATTTCTGGGGGCTCTCGCCGCCGTCCTCAGCGGCCAGCAGCGGGCTGGGGGGCAGGCTGTAGCCCGCCGGCTTGCCCTCGCTCCAGTGGCGGGAGCGCACGTGGCTCTCCAGCGCGGACTTGGCCTTGAAGAGCGCGCGGCAGAAGGGGCAGCGCCGGTGGGACTGCGCGGCGGGGCCCACGGCGCGGAACTGGCCCTTGCGCTCGCGGGCGCGTGTGTTCTGGAACCAGACCTGCACCACGCGCTTCTTGAGGCCCACCTCGCGCGCGATGTGGTCCAGCATCTTGCGGGTGGGGTTCGAGTCCAGCAGGTACTTGTCGTAGAGCACCTCCAGCTGCTCGGGCGTGATGGTGGTGCGCAGGCGCTTGTCGCGGTGCTGGTCCTCGCCGCCGGCGCCCCCCGCGTCCTTCTCGCTGCTGCAGGGGGCCGGGTCCTCCTTGTCCTCCAGCTTCCGCTTCAGCGAGGCCGCCGCGGCTGCAGCAGCGGGGCCCGCAAGGTGGGAGGCGCCCCCCTGGGGTGCCATCGGGGCCAGGGACCCGCCCAGCAGCTGCCCGGTGGCCATCAGGGGGCTGTTGGGGTCGAAGATCATGTAGGGCATGTCCAGCGGCCTCTCCAGGAAGGGCGAGTGCAGGAACTGGTTCTGGGCGGCCAGGAAGTGCATGTGCTGGTGCTCCTGCCAGAGCTCGGGGCTGGCGAAGGCCACGGCACACTGGTCGCACTGGTACTGGAGCAGCTGCGGCGGAGGTAGGCTGTTCTGCAGGGGCGCCAGGGGCAGCGGCAGGGGGCTGGACGGCACGGGCACCGGCGTCTGCGAGGCCGAGGGGGGCCTCCCCATGGACAGCTTGGGCTGGGCCTGGGCCCCTGAAGCCTGCGGTGGGTCCGAGGAGGAGGTGGACACCGAGGATGGGGCCGACTTGGGGCCTTGCGCAGGGGGGGAGGGCTCGCTCTGCTTTGGCTTCTCTGCGGGGTACTCAGGCTTGGGGGAGGTCTTCTCGGGGGGCTCGGGCTTGGGCGACGACATCAGAGGGGTGCTCGTGCCGGAGCCGGAGCTGCCCGCTGCGGGGGCCGTGGTGGCGCCTCTGGCCGCGTCCCCTTGACCCGAGGAGGAGGAGGAGGAGGCGCAGTGCCTGAACACCAGCTGGTCGGTGGCGTCCATGGAGTCCTCGGTCTGGCTCTCATCCTGCCCGGCGGCTTCGTCGTCCTCGTCCTTGTAGCACTGCCGCTTCTGGTGCGTGATGAGGTCGAAGATGCGCGCGAAGGCGGCGGCGCACTTCTTGCATTGGTACTGCCCGCCGCCCGTGCGCACGTAGCGCTCGGCCGTCAGCTCGCGCTTGTCCCCGCTGCCGCCGCCCTCCCGCGCCTCCGCCTGGTTCTCGAAGCTCTTGCGCGCCTTCTGCCGCGCGTTCTGGAACCACACCACGATGACGCGCGTGGGCAGGTTGAGGACGGCCGAGAGCTGCTCGATCTCGTCGTCCTTGGGGTAGGCGTTGGTGTCGAAGAAGTCCTGCAGGACGCGCAGCTGGTAGTCGGTGAAGCGCGTGCGAGAGGAGCGCTTGCTGAAGGCGGGGTCCCCCTTACTGTAGGGGGGCTCCAGCGGCGAGGGCGGCGGCGGCTCCAGGCGCAGCTCCTCCAGCGCCGTGACGGGCGGGTTGCTGAAGTTGTAGGGCGAGTCCTTGTTGCGCTGGCGCTCCTTGAAGAGCGTGTTGCGGAACCAGTGCTTGATGACCTTCTGCGACAGGCCCGACTTCTCCGCCATCTCCTGCACCTGCTCCTCGCCCGGCGAGTTGTTGATGTCGAAGTAGGCCCGCAGGACCTTGAGCTGGTCGTCGGTGATGCGGGTCCGAGGCCGCTTGAACTGCGCCGAGTGGCGCAGGAAGCCGCCGGCGTCCAGGCCGAGCTGCTGCTGGCACAGCTGCGCCAGGTCGGCGGCGGACAGCGCGTCCAGCTGGGGCGGGGGCAGCTGCAGGGCCAGCGGCGGGGGCAGCGCGGCCGCCGGGTGCTGCACGGGCTGCATCAGGATGGACGGGAAGAGGGGCAGGTCCAGGGACACGGGCAGCTGCACCTGCGGCGGGGGCGCAGCCGAGGGGGGCGGCGGAGGAGGGGGAGGCGGCGGGGGAGGCGGAGGGGGCGGCGGGGGTGGAGGGGGCGTGGGGGGCGGGGCCTGCAGGGGAGCGGACACCCCGGAGCTGGGCATTTTCACGGACCCCAGAGGGGACGGCTGAGGGGGCCCCCCCGGGGGCAGCGGGGCAGGCGGGGGCGGCGGAGGAGGGGGAGGCGGCGGGGTCTCGGGCGAGGGCGGCGCGATGGGGTAGAGCTTGTCGTAGGCCTCCCGGTACTGGCGGGCGAAGCTCTCGAGGGCGCCGCGGGGGAAGAACTGGCCGTGCACGTGCTCCTGGTGGCTCTTGAGGATGAGCACGTTGGAGAAGAGCTTGCCGCAGGTGCCGCACTCCAGCTTGTCCGCGCCGGAGCCGTCCCCGTCCCCGCCGCCGCCGCCCCGGCCCTTCTTCTGCGCCTTCTGCCGGTTCTCGTTGTACTGGATGACCAGCTCGAAGCCGAAGTTCTCCAGCAGGGCCTTGGCCGCGTTGCCCCGGGCCCCGGAGGCGATCCGGGGCGGCGGGATCGATGGCTCCAGGGACTTGGGCTTCTTGGCGTCTCTGCCTTCTTTGGGCCCCTCCCCGTCCCCGGCGAAGTCTTGCTTTGGTTTGTCTTGCTTGTCTGCACCGTCTTCGGCCTCCTTGTAAGCCGGGCCGTCCTTGGCGGCCGGGCCCTCGGCCCCCCCGGCCAGGGTGGCGGCCTGGTCCGGCTTCAGGAGCTTGCTGGCCGGCGGCTGCAGAGGCTGCTGCGGGGCGGGCTTCTGGGCCGGCAGCGGGGGCTGGTACTGCTGGGCCTGCTGCTGCAGGAGCTGCAGCTGGGTCTGGCCCACGTGGTGCTGCGTCTGGATCTGCTGCTTCAGGTCCTCCAGCAGGGACCCCGCCATGCCCGCGGCCATGCCGGGCATCCCGAAGGCGGCAGCCGAGCCCGGCAGGCCCAGCTCGGGGCCCAGGCTGAACTCGGCGGCGCCGGGGATGTAGAAGGGGAAGAGGAACTGCGGCTGCTGGAACTGGAGCAGCGCCTCGGGGGTCATGGGGAAGTGCGGCAGGAAGGCAGGGTTGAGGAACTGCGGCTGGAAGAAGGCGGCCTGCTGCTGCAGCTCGTGCTGGAGCTGCATCTGCAGCTGCGCCGCCGGGGACTGCGGCGGCGGGTGGTGCGGGGACGGCTGCGCCGATAGCAGCTCCGGAGGGGTCTGCTTCTTAGTCAATTCTTTGGCATCTAAGTGGGTATCTTTGCTGCTGACGGAGGAGGCTAAGCTCATGGACTCGAGCATGCCCGGGCCGGGGCTGCCCACGCCGGCCTGGCCCAGGCCGTGGGCGCCGCCGGGCTCCAGCTTGGCGGCCCGGGCCTTGGTCTGGTGCAGCACGGAGCGCATGTGGATCTCCAGGGTGGAGCTCTGGCTGTAGGCCACGTTGCAGACGCCGCACTTGTAGGGCTTGTTGTCGGCGCCGCCACCGCCGCCGGGCTCCTGGGGCACGGGGCTGGAGGCCTCCTGCAGCACCTTCTTCAGCTTGTGCAGGTGCGACACGGAATTGTAATGGACCAGGAGGATGTTCTTCTGGGTGAAGGACTCCTTGCACACGGTGCACTTGTACGGGCGGGACGGGTCGAGGAACTTCTCCATGGTGAAGTTGGGCCCTTTCCGGAAGGGCAGGGTCCGCTTTGGCTCGGAGCCCATGTCGTCGGGCAGGGAGCTGCTGTCGCTCCCCACGGGGCTGGCCTTCCCCTCCGGGTCCACCTCGTACTCCCTCTCCATCTCCTGCTCCAGGGCGGGGTCGTCGGGGGCCGCGGGCTCGCCCTCGGCCCACAGCTCCCCGTTGACGGGCAGGGAGGCGTACAGCTGCTGGAGCTCGGCCTCGCCCAGCTCGGGGTGGCCGGCCTCCAGGTGTTTTTTTAAAGCCTGGAATGTGCGGAAGCTGCGCTGGCAGAGGCTGCACATGGTGGCGGCGCGGATGGCGTGGTACTGGGAATGGATCTGGAGCTTCTGCATGGTCTTGAAGGCCAGGCTGCAGTGGTTGCAGCGGAACTTGTACACGTGGCGGTCGGACACCGCCAGCGGCTGCCGCTTCTGCTGCTCGCTCAGCGGGTCCGCCAGGGCGTCCGGGATCTTCGCGTCCTTGCTGCCGTGTTTGCTCCACTCGGACGCGTCCACGGGCTCTCTGGCTGGTTTCTGCTCCTCACTCTTGATTTCCACGCCGGCCTTGGCATCGTCAAGACCTGCCATGCTCTTGTCATCCACTGGACTCTCACCTGTGCGGGAGAGAAAGCACAAGCAGATCGCTCATGGGGAGAAGGGACACAGGCTGGTAACTACTGTAAGTAGGAGCCTCTACAGGTTTCTATTTCATTGATTCATGAGAGAAATATTTATTGAGCAACTACTATGTTGCAAGCATTGGGAGAGGCAGTGTGGGTACAAAGGTGAGTATCGAATCACCTCCGACCTCGAGGGATTTCAGGGTACAGAAGAAAAGAACCCAAAGGTAATTACAGTCTGTTGCATACAATCGGTGTGACACCAAGGGCCAGGCCTCCGTGTCCAGGACTTAGAGCCAAGAATATTCTTGGTCACTGGCCCTGGGCCCAAAGACAGACAGACAGTAAATATGCATTGACAACGATGGCTCTTGGGATCTATTTTTCCTCCGCACCTTTGTTGTGACTCCGTGATAGTAAAAGCCTTCCTGCACCGCCACACACGCCAGCCTCGGAGCGTGTTTTGTGCAGACCAGGGTCCCCGGCGGGCATACCTGAATATCTCCCAGCCCCCTCGGCCATGCCGGCTGCCGGCGTGTCCCGCTCCGACTTCTCAGAGGCAGCTGCTGGCAGCAGCAAACTGTTTGGCATCATCATATCTGGCACAGGCACCTGTGAAGACCAAAGGAGCTCACATCAGAGGTACCCGACCTTCAGAGACGCCACCACATCTGCCATTGCATCTCCCTTAGGTTTTCCCAGCCAAAGCAGCCACTTCATGGCTCTTACAGACAACTGCTCGCCCTTCCCATTCCAGATCAACACCATTACAATGCTGTGTTCTTGCTTCCCCTTTTAAAAACTGTTTTTGGCCGAAACCGGTTTGGCTCAGTGGATAGAGCATCGGCCTGCGGACTGAAAGGTCCCAGGTTCAATTCCGGTCAAGGGCATGTATCTTGGTTGCAGGCACATCCCCAGGGGCTGTGCAAGAGACAGCTGATCGATGGTTCTCTCTCATCAGTGTTTCTAACTCTCTATCCCTCTCTCTTCCTCTCTGTAAAAAAAATCAATAAAATATATATATATATATATATTTTTTTTTTTTTTTAAAAACCCTGTTTTTGCAGGTCTACTAGTATGTCTTTATCCTGATACTCGAGAAAGTTTGAAACTCAATGTGTCCATGTGTGACTCATCTGGTTAACATTACAGATATAAACACCAGACTGTTACTGAACAATCTATGCCTGTATCATATTTAAAAATATATTTTATTGATTTTTCACAGAGAGGAAGAGAGAGGGATAGAGAGTTAGAAACATCGACGAGAGAGAATCATCGATCAGCTGCCTCTTGCACACCCCTTACTGGGGGTGTGCCTGCAACCAAGGTACATGCCCTTGACCGGAATCGAACCCGGGACCTTTCAGTCCCCAGGCCGACGCTCTATCCACTGAGCCAAACCGGTTTCGGCCTGTATCATATTTAGTTCCCTAGCAAAAGAGACAACAGAGGGGCCCTGGACTGTGATCTCTATGACACGGTCAGGGAGACAGATCTGCGTCACAAAGAACCGCATCGCTACGGCCCGGTTACGTGCAGATTTGCTGTCGCTGCCTCTCCAGGGATCACGTCACACGCACGTCACCACGCGGGGCGCTTACTGTCATGAGCAGCTTCTCCACGCAGTCCGGGGACACGCTGTGCAGGTGCGTCAGGTGCAGCTGCAGGTGCATCTTGTTGCTGAGGACGTCCTGGCAGAGGGGACAGCAGACCACCGGCTGCACCGAGTGCTGCGACAGGACGTGCATCTGGATGCGGCTTTGGTCCCTACTATTGTAGTTACAATAAGGACACTGATAGAACTGGAAGACAGCGAACAGACACGGCGGGTGCTACTGTTAGTCCGAGGGCATCCGAGTACCCGCGGCCATACCCAGGGCTCATCGGTCACCCATCGCAACGTCTACGTTTCAACAGCATGGAGTCGTTGGGGGCTCAGACCCTACCAGGAGTTAATAATAACTAAATTAAAATAAAAACATAGGTTTACAGAGCAAAGGGGGAGGGGGAAGGTATTTACCTGTTCGGGACAGAATTTACTGTCCTCTGTAGCTTTTGACCGTTTGGTTGTGACATCTTCTTCCTTCGCCAGCAGGAGTGGCTGGGTCGCTCCCGCCACACAGACCTTCAGCTCCTTCTCCGGTGTGATTATTCCTGATCGCACCCCCCAAAACAAAACAAAACAAAACAAAAACAGGACACGTCAACTCCAAAAGACCAACGACGACAAACGTGAAAGATCCTATGTTTTTCATCGAGCGCTGGCTGTAAACCCACCGAACCACAAAAGGAACCGGACAAGCACTTATAAACGATGCTAATCTCAACAGGCAGGATGCACGCTTCTGTGTCCACCCACTAAGTGGACTTTATAAATATATTTTAAAATGTACTCCTGCCTCATGTTTAGATAACCCCCGGTGACCTTAGAAGACTCATCAATAACACATGCTCACTGGTGTCTCAGGCTGCCTTTATCACACGAAAGCAAGTCTACTTCCATTCACAAAGGCTAACTTGGAAAAGAATCCTCTCCACTGATGTTTAATTGCCTATCTCTCTTCTAAAAATTCCTGATCACGGGAAACATTTCAAGATTCTGAGAAGAGCTAACTCCTTATAGTTCAGAAACAAAGATAGCATTTTTAGGACTTAAACATTAACTATCCATGTCTCCTGCTGTTTCTGTGATTTACTCTTTGCTTTACATGTTTGGCTGCATGTATAATGTTTAGAGTTCGCATCTCAAGAAGATGGCTGTTTTTATGAGGTTAAACCAAATATTCGGTGTGAAGGGGGCTTAAAATTTTGCCTAGCTAAGCAATGTCACGTATAGGAGCCTCGCACGCATCAAAGAAAAAGTGTGATTCTAATTTCCCAATCTAACAGAAAATTTCTTTCCAGCATCAATTTTCCCAATAATCTCCTCTGTGAGGCTGGATATTACAGTGACATTGGGTAGGCATGTCACATACATTTCACGACAAACACAAAACCTCATTTACCAGCCATTCCAATCTCATCATAGCACCGCGTCATCTGACCTTTTTTCTGCTGTTTATTATGAGTATTTCTAATTTTAACTTTCAATTTTCACCATCTTCCAGTCAATTTGCAACTAAATTATTTCCAGGGTGAGGATACTATCACTGGACAACTGGGTGCAAATACATGTTGAAATGCAATGAAGCTAAACCATTGATTGCTATCAGACCCCGCGTGAATATAGAGTCTGGGCGTAATCTGATTGTATGCTGTGCATGAAGATTTATCTTGATTTTTTTTTTTTTCAATCCACATACGGTTCATATCAATGAACAAATTGCACCTTATTGTGAAATAGCCCAGTTTTAATTTAACAATAAGGTCAAGGATGTTATAGAAACAAAGGAAAGAAGAACCAAAAACTACATTCTTTTTTCAATCCTGGGTAGAGATGATATAAACTTTTCAGAAAATTATAATTTTAAAAGAAATTTAAAAGTAAGCATTTTAAATTTTGGACTCTGAGGACAACAAAATTAAAGTAGACTTTCGATGACAGAATGACAATCATGGTAGGCACAGATTTGGTGATGTTTTCAAATAATTATTATACTGATTTCTAGATTTACAAACATGAGATTTCATTTGAATTGTTACATGTGCCCTATATCTACAGATGCCTTGGAGAAATTTAGGTTCCTTCTAGATATTTGAAAAAAAAAAATAACTGATCACATTTGTATTTGAATGAACTTAAATTTGAATATAGACTGAAGAACTTCATTATATCGATTTAACACAACCCAAGTATTTCATATCCAAAGATATGTCAAAAACAGGAATTTTTATTTCATAGGTAATGATGGCATCAAAAATAGCTTTTAAAAAAAGCAGGATATACTTTGTGGTGTTGTGTTTAAAGTGCTAAAATATTCAAGAAAAGAATATAATAGTGTTTTCAAATAATAAAATTTAGGGCTTAAAATGTCAGTTCAAGTTGTGTAAAGTGATTGTCATTTACATCAGGAATGTTTATCCCTTGCTTTCTTCTTTGAGACTGGAAGATTTTTTTTTAAGTCTCCCATTAATGAGTAAGACTATGCTCCTTTAAGAATATAATACTCTCATATTCCCTTATCATTCTTTTGTGCACATGGTAGAATAAGACAACCAAATTATTAGCTTGTCCAGTTCCCTATGTTATCAAAGACTGTCACACAGAAATTAAAGGAGAATTTCCATGACTCTTGCTGCTTGCAGACCCTGTGGGGTATTAGCAATAGGAAAAAACCTTCCAGAAACATTTAAATCTATTTAATGAGCAGCTATGGCTTTATTATCATAAGCATAAATATTCTAATATTGGTACCATATAGGATCAAAAAACACTGATTTTAAGGTATGAGATATTTTACTAAAACTATACTATAAAATTGGGGTACATATTTGGTCTAATTAATCCATATTATTTTTATGCTTATTACTATCCATGGATGATATAGTCACTTTTGAATTTTGTGACATTCGTGCAGCATCAAGAAAGTTTTACGGTCATTTCATAGCTACTGCAATCGCTGTTCACTATAGTATTCCACTCCATATATAGGTCAACTCCAATATTTTTTGTGTGTAATTAACTTAATTAAACCATGATCTTAGGAAAGCTAGAAGCTGTGTAAAGACCATTTTATTTTACATTAAAAAGGAGTTATAAATACAAGTTAGATTCCACCACGCCCAGCTGTATCTAGGCACCCCGGAAATGCATGCCACTGAGAGGAAGAAGCAAGAATGCTGAGCTGGAATGCTATATGACAGAAACAGACTCACAAGGATAGGCAGGTCATCCGGGTTATTTGCAAAGCAATGTAAATTACATCTCACGATTGTGTGCTTTTTCTCCTTTTTCAAAGGGGTGCAATCTCAGGGACTATGGCCTTCCTGGTAAATTACAAGGACTCAACTTTGAGTTCTCTCTCTGAATTGTTTTATTCTAGAAATATATTAAATAAGGGCCAATTTTAGAAGAGTTTTAAGTTCTGGGATTACTCGGAGTTTATGACTGCAACTTTATTTGAAATAAACCCAGTTTGATACCCTAAAGGAAAATTTTAGGTGGTATCATAATTCATTTTGTGTTATTTTAAGGACATCACAATATCCTCAAAAATAAATAAATAAATAAATAAAAAACAATGCCCTTTTAACATCTTTGAACTAAGAAATGAAGTCCAATTACAAGCAAGCACTGCCAAATAGATGAGCCAATGATTATCTGTCAGCTATGTGATTATGTAACTTGCATGAGATAGCAATATAAAAATGACATAATTCCTTTCCATTCAGATGCTGCCTACTTAATAATTTCCAATCCCTAAAATACAGAAGGTTGTAAAATGGTTTATACTCATAATAAATGAGGAAAATCCAGTAGCATATATGGACTCAAAGCAAATCTTGAAAATAACAAACCAACAATAAAACAAAATACTGAGTTATTTTTAAATGTTTTATGAATCAATGTATTTGATAATATGTGAATACTATGAAACTTGAATATAACAGGAGAGGTTATTCAACGCCAAATAATTCCAAATTATAATTACCAGTACAGTATTCTTTCTAATGAGACTGGAATGAAAGGATAATTTTAATTGCAATAATGAAGGTTAATTTCCATCTTTCCTCGTGTTTACTCCCTTATTAAAAAGTGGTCCCCTTAGCCATGGCAGAGACATATTACATTTTCAATGCAAATGTATTAATCTGGATAAACTCTATATTAATTCTTGTACTGCACAGAGCTGTAATTTGGATTATAATTAATCTAAAGTGGCACTAGATTTAAATGACAATATAAATGAGGCATTAGGAGGCTTTTCTATTATGAATGAATATTCAACAAATACAACTTGCATATTGCCAAGTCTCATTTTGAAAGCTCCAGTCCTGGAGATTAATGTCCGCAACGCTACACAATAGCTTACACAAACAGGGTCTTTCTAGCGCGTGTTAATTCCTTCCTGTCTTAAAAATTCAGTGCCAAAGTGGAGACACGCTGTTTTCCCATCTAACACATTAAGACAGCGATTCATTTTGCCCATATTTCTTGACATTTATAACTGACATAAGAAAAAAAACAATATATACATACGTGGTTATTCAATCTTTAGAGATATTTACAAGGAAGATGTAATGGTTTTTTTCACCTAATCAGATTCAATTTAGAAGGCAGAAGACTTGGTTAGAAGTTCCTGTCAGTTGTCAAAAGCAAGAACTGTCTTGAAGTCTGGGAGGTGTCAAGGCTAAATATTTGCATCTCAGTAATTTCTTCTAGTTGGTTTTAAAGTTCATTTTTACCCCTTTAGATACACATAGAGAGGCCCTTCTGTGGGGGTAAAATGGGTTTTAAACTTCTCCCATTATGCAATGCTCTGTGTCCTCTCCTGTGCTCCCTCCCATCCTGTTTCAGTGGTGGCATCAGGCACCTAAGAAGGGACAGTCACTCAAGTCGTTAGGGGGTGATGAGCCCACTGGTTATGCAAAGAAGTGGATGTTGCTGGTGGCATGGAGTGCCTGAGTCTGAGGTGGTGTTCCAGGTAAGACTCCTCCTTCAACGTAAGTCTGGAGCCCTTTTCAAGAGATTCCAGAACCTACCCTTTATAGGGTATTAGATATATATTTTTAAATATATTTTATTGATTTTCCACAGAGAGGAAGGGAGAGGGATAGAGAGCTAGAAATGTCGATGAGAGAGAAACATCGACCAGCTGCCTCCTGCACACACCCCCATCGGGGATGTGCCCGCAACCAAGGTTCATGCCCTTGACCGGAATCAAACCTGGGACCTTTCAATCTGCAGACCGACGCTCTACCACTGAGCCAAACCGGTTTCGGCAGTATAGGGTGTTAGATATTTAAAACCAAGCATAACGTCACGCACCCGAGTATCAGAGAGCATCCGTGTAACAAGAATGTGCTATCTGTGTTTCACATGTTCTTCTGAAGCCTGGGGTGGGGCAAGGGACTCCTCTATCACTGTGAGAGGGACACCACTGGACACCACTGCCCCTGCCCTTCCAGAAGCAAACAGGCCAGCAGCAAGCCCTGAGGAGGCCCATCCTCCAGAGCGAACCAACCGACCGCCTTGCCATTTCAAATGAGGTTTAGACGGCACTACCCTTGACCTTAACCAAATGCCAGGTACTTCCAATCCCCGGTCAGTAACCCCAAGAGCTGAGTTCCTAACACGCAGGGATGGCATCTTTTCCACATTGCCTTCAGCTCTGCACCCACCTCACATCCCCTCTGTCTAAGTCAAATTGGAATCATATGTTCAGCACTAGATCCTCGGCCCGAATCGCAGGGGCGCTTTCGCACTGGACCTCTGAGAGCAATTTAGCATCAAGCGGGCTGGGGGTGGGAGCAGGGAGGCCCTGGGAGGGGAGTCATTTGTGAAGGGAATGCAAAACCGAGATATGCAGATGGCTGAATCACCAGCGCGGGGTAATTCAGGCTTAAATGGACTCGCACATAAAAATGGCAGATACATTTTTTTTTTTATTTTTTTTTTGCACAACCCAATGTCTTCATAGTGAAAATTAGCTTCTTTATGGGAGACTGTCACCAGAACTCAGGAGAAGATAGATGACTACCTGAAACTAATAGGCTTGAACCTGTTTCAGCAGTTCTCCTGCTCCAATGAGCCCAGCCTAATACAGCTCGGTATGGCATGCAGCAAGAGTAGCCAATGCAATATTTATTCATCGCGGCCGCAGATTTCCATCTCATACATGCAAAGCGCGGATGAAGTCATGTATTTGCCAAATCAAACACGGGGAAAGCCGTAGGTATCCGCACCAGATGCTGGCCTAGGGACTGTTTGTGCACAAGTAAATGTCATGACATGGAGGCTTGTTTTCAGAGACAGTAGCTTTCATTACTGGGATTTGTCTATTCTGGAAGATGAAAATTACCCGGCGTCTAATCCCTTTTCAATGATATTTCCTCTCTCTTAGGCAGAATCATCTGTAAACTTTTTTTTTCACTGGATTTCATTTGAAATGCTTCAAATAGATGCCCTTAAAAAGGGCAAATTCCTGAGTGAACGTTGTTAAAAAAAAAAAAAAAAAAAAAAAAAAAAAAAGGAAAAATAACATTTATTTTTAGGTTGGTGTGGGGGAGGGTGCCTGTGATTGAATGAAAAAAAAAAACCAAAAAAAAACCAAGGGATACCTAATCCTGCGCTTATGAAAAATTAATATGCCATCAGAGGAATCACAAGTATAGCTAAGATTAATGAAAGGCGCTTAAAAAATTACAAGCACACAAACTGATTTGATTAAAAAATAATCTTGCTGGTCGTCCTGTAATATTCTTCAACTTACCCACATATCTTCTGTCAGATGGTTATGATTAAAAATAGGTCAATGAGAGGCTACTGATAGAAGTCACATGCAAAGGCACATGCGACGGATAGCGGTGGAAATGTTAGTTTCAAATGAATAAAAGCTTTCAGCGAGCGTGGGGACGGGGGGAAGGCAGGGCTGACTTTGGGGAGTGGGGTGGACGAGGAACGGGGAAAGGGTCTACCGTCTTACCGGGGTCTTTACTGGAGGAGTTTTTGCCTTCACCAGGGTCCCTCTCGTTTGTGTCTTTCTCATCCTCCTCGGCCGCCGGTGTCGGCTTCAGAGGTCCTTCTGGCTCCTCACTTGGTTCTTCTGTTCAGGAAGGCAGACTGGTTAGCAGGATCGGAACCGCCTCCCCATCACAAGCACACTCACATGATTACGTGACCGTTTACAGACGTGGTCACCTGTGAATCATCCGCAGACACCCATTCCCAAAGAAGGACATACTTTTATTCAAAACCTCAGACCCTGACAATGGCAATACTCAGAAGGGACTTCCGAGTTGCAAATGCTTATCTCAAGCAACTTCTTGTATGTCCACTGAGGACACAGGCCTGCACTGAAAGAACAGACATCATTTCTGGCACACGTGAAGCCAGGAAAGCCCGCAGCATGGGTGTGAGGCAGTTCTGTCATACGGAAGCTCCTAAGCCACATGCCCCTGTTCCACAGACTTAGATAGAGGGCAGAGCCAACCAAATTCCTAGGAGAAAAAAAAAAATCCTCATGAGAGAACGGGATCATGATGGGTTAACTACAGGACAGGTGTCACTCCTGCCTTCAGCCCCCGGGCCCCAGAGGAATTCTCTGGAATCCATCTGAGGGAGATCTCCGAAGTTGGGTTGCGCTGGGCTTTGTTTTTCTCTCCAGGGGGAGCTGTGCAGGGCGCGGGACACAAGAAGGCCTATTCCTCCTACGACAACCACATCACCCCACACCTCATTCGCGGGTTCACACCAGCTAGATTACATGGAAATCCTCACAGTAACTCAACCCCGTTTAATTATTCGGTAAATCTTAGGTGTGCCGCTGCCGGTGGGTTAATCTGTTTATGCAGTTAGCCTCCGTGCCGGATCCGGGCGGCACTAATCCGTGAAAGGCCCACTGTTCCCCTCCGGCCTGTGATCCTCTGTCTCTCGCGGTGCTGATGGCACGTTTTAATGAATTTTCAGCAATCCGAGTCATGCCAGCTAGCCAGGCCTGCGCCTCCCCGCAGCAGGGCACCACACTGTTTTCACGGCGGCACAAAATAATAAAAAATAAATTAAAAAAAAATCATACCCCCCTCCCCGGTCCAGGTAGGAATCACATACATGACGGGGAGGAGGCAACCTGGGATCGGAAGCACCCGGGCTGCTGCTGCTCAATTTCATAAAATCTTTAATGACCATATAAATTAACCCCGGCGAGGCAAAAGGTCGCCGCCGTCGCCTATGCATACACGTGTCTATTTGCTTTTGATAAGCAGCGCTTTTATGCGGGGAGCATGATACAATTAACCCTTCAATAGCCATACAAAACGCCGCCCCGGACGTTTTAAGTGTCGGGCATTAACGGAAAATTACACACTGCATAAAATTTTCATTGCAAATGCTGGCGTGATTGAAGGGGGGGAGCGGCGGCCCTCTCCGCACCCCATGTTTTATTAATAACGCTCTGACAGCAGAATGAAATATCCGCCGTCACGCGCAGCAGCTGAGCACACACAGAGCGCACAGAGCGTCTCCCTTCCCCAGCCTGCCCCGCCGCCGGGGGGCGGGAGGGGGGAGGGGAGGCAGGGACGGTGCTGGGCTCGGAGGGGACAGACCCCCGGTCTAAGGGGAGGCTCTCCATCTGCAAATGTCTTACCTCAAGCAACTCCTTGCATATCCACTGAGGACACGGGCCTTGCCGCCCGCCCCTGTGTGTCCTCAACAGCCCCCCACGCCCATCTCTCCCCGGCCTGCACTTTGCTGCTGAACCTCAGCCGTGGGGAGCTCCTTGTAGAGGAGCCAGGCCTCTGTTTGGGGGGGAGCGTCCCTTTCAGGCACATCCATGTGGAGACGGTCCATTAGGAAGGAGAGAGCGGATGCTGGTAGGGCTCCAGCCTGCTTTCACCAACCAGGGTCATCCCTGATCAAACCAGGGACATCCCTGATCAAACCAGGGTCATCCCTGATCAAACCAGGGACATCCCTGATCAAACCAGGGTCAGCCCTGATCAAACCAGGGACATCCCTGATCAAACCAGGGTCATCCCTGATCAAACCAGGGTCAGCCCTGCTCGGACCCAGGCTCCCGCCCCCCCGCGTGAGGCCAGGCCGAGAGGGGACGATGGCCGGCTCGGGGAGGGAGGGTCGTGGTGGAGATCATGGCCAGATCGGGCCATGTCCCGGCCAAGTCCACGCCCCTGACGACGTGACATCCGGCGACAGGCCCTGACCCGTGACAGCCCACGGCCGTTACTCTCCCTCTCGTCCCGGGGAAGCGAGGCGAGGCTTCTCCGGGTAGATTTACTGAAGCTTTCCCCCAGGGCTGGGAAATGAAGTGTCACCGCGGTCCCGGCGTCCTTATCTTGAGGGGACATAAAATCGTAAGGGCTATCGCAGCTCCCATTAATAAAACATGGGGCGTCGGGAGGAGAGGAGGAGAGTTATGAAGGGGCTCCAAGAAAAACCACAGTGCAATCTGGGCCTCATCGCACGCTTTTTCGCGGGGTCCGATTCATTTCCTAGCGTGTGTTAAGGGCGAGAGAAATTCCCAGACATGTTCCCCTATACATCACCGCGGTGTCTGACCTCCGCCTGACCCTGGCAACGGTTTGAGAAATCTGAATGTGAACAAAGCCCGTGTCAGCAGCACCGAGCCACTGCCATCAGCTTAATCGCAAACAGCAGTCCCGAGGCCGTAACTGTGCCCGCCCCGTCCAAGCCACAGCCCAGATCCTCCCTCCGGAGCTGGCCCTGCCCGCACAGCCTCTGCTGCTGGGACATCCCCCCCTTTTTTGGGGGATGGGGGGATCTCTGCCTTTGAAGTAGGCAGGCAATTAGCTCTAATGCTCCAGCAATTCAGACCTGTTTTGTGGTTTTGGAGGCGAGAGCTGTTTATTACAGGTGGGCACTGTGGAGCCGTGCAACTTTGCAGAGTTTTAATCATGCACAAAATAATCAAAGGGTAACTTATATCCACCGCCATAAAGTTTCATTCGCGTCTGGAAAAAAAAAAAGGCTCGCTTTGGGTCTTAGAGTCTGGAAGTCAGTGGACATTCACTTTACAAAGAGGCTTCAGAGCTGGGAGGATTCATGTGGACAAACCGCTCTCTCCCCAGGAAAGCGGGAGCTTGGAGCTGGGGCTGCAGGAGGAGTGGCTGTGTTCTGAGTCTCAAGCACCAGTTTCCTCCACACAAAATGCCAGCAAGTGTAAGATGCATTGTAGGAAACGAACCAGCAAGCAAAAAGTCATACGTGACGTTAAATGTGCTAATGGATCGAAACTGGTTTGGCTCAGTGGTAGAGCGTCAGCCTGCAGACTGAAAGGTTCCAGGTTCGATTCCGGTCAAGGGCATGTACCTTGGCTGCGAGCACAACTTCAGTGGGGGGTGTGCAGGAGGCAGCTGATTGATGTTTCTCTCTCATCAATGTTTCTAACTATTCCCTCTCCCTTCCTCTCTGTAAAAAATCAATAAAATATATATTTTTAAAAACAAAATAAATGTGCTAATGGGATGCTGTAGAACTGAGGGAAATGACATAAATTCAAGGACGTGAAATTCCAAAGTAAAGATACTAACTTACACAAAATTCCCAAAGATGCTAATGCAGCTGTCATTTTCACCAATAAGTTTCTTCACTAATGTAGTGCATGTAATCCTAATAAAAGTATTACCACATTTCATAATACTGTTGCTTTCATAGCATATATAGCTCTATTCTTTTACTTCATGTAATATAAAAAACACAGTATGTATTTATATATTAAACATCAAGATATGATTGTAGTTAAGCTTCAAATGAACACTGGAGTCCATTAGAACTTCCAAGTTTTCAGACAAATAGTAATACATTTTTGTTTCTAAAAGGTTCTGAAATAATACTGTAGTCTTATAGAAGTTCAGTACAGTTAGTTTCCCCTAGCATTTTTATTATGGATAAGAATGATGATCTTATCGAACTTATTTTGTATATACACATAAACTATATTTAAAAGAAATACTTTGAATGACTAGCTTAGAGTATTTTCATTTGAATGATGAAAATTAGAAAATCTCTATTAATTTAGTCTATAAAATCATAGTACACCTTTTGAAGTGTGTCTTCTCCAGTGATACACTGCTGACCAGGCCACACTTGGCTCCCGTGGCTTTCTCCCATAGTGGGCTTCGGAACCCTCTCTCTCTGAGTCCTAAGGTAGCGGTCACCAACTGGTGGTCCATGAGGTCCGAAAGGTTGAAGACCACTGCTCTAAGGAAAGCGTTGCACACTTTTTAGCCCATGAAGTAATGATATAAAGAGGAGGCAGAGGACATTAAGCAACTTAAGTACCTTCAGTTTTATATACGGAGCATCTCCTCCAAGCACCTGGCCTGTAAGAATTCTTCCCTGGACACCTGCAATCTCTCCCTGTCCGGTCCCACCACCAACTCCAAATCAACCTCTGTATGAGCGACTTAAATCTACTAAAATCTTTTAGTGACTCACTACAAGAAAAAGTTCAATCTTCTGGGCATACAAAGAATACCTCCGAGATACCTGGTCCTTGTCCATCACTTCAGTCTCATTATTCTCCCACTTCCTACCTAGCACTTAACACTTAAAACAACAACAACAACCCACCTTGTGTCTGTGGCTCAGCTGGCTGAGCATTGTTCTGTGCACCAAAAGGTCATAGGCTCGATTTCCGGTCAGGGCACAGCCCAGGTTGTAGGTTTAGTCCCCGGCCTATGCAGGAGGCAACCAACTGATGTTTCTCACATCACATCAATATTTCTCTTTCTCTCCCTCTCCCTTCCCCTTTCTCTAAAATAAATAAAAACTTTTAAATTGCATCATCAGAGTCACCTGTTCGACTTGTTAGAAATCAGACTGTGTGCTCCACCCCTGGAATTTATAATTCAGTCGATTCAGAGGGAGGCCTGGGAATTTACATCTCTCTGTTTCCAGATGAAGATGATGCTCCTAATCCAAGCACCACATCTCATGAACCACAATTCTAGAAACACGTGACTGCGATTCATGTTGCCTTCCTGTACATATCATTCTATTTCCCTGTCTTGTCTAGGACAACTTCTCTCCACTGTATATCCACTTTTTTCTTCAAGCCCAGCTTGGGAAATTCCAGTTTCATCATCTGTAAAAATGGAATCAATAACACCTACCTCATTGGTTTGTTGTAAGATAATATATAGAAATCAGTCAGCACTTAGCCTAACACAAACTAAGGGTTTCAAAACACTGGCTGGTTATTACTATTAATTATTTCTTTATCCAAAAAGTCTTACCTAAATCTTGAATTGGGATTAATGTTTCTGAATAAGATTTTCTTTTTCTTTTTTTTCTGTACATGGTTGTCAAACAGCTTACCATAGTATTTGGAGATTACCCATGCACTATGCCTATTTTCCCTAACAGCTGCACATTTACTGAAAATAGTGATTATCTTATTGCTCCTTGTGCCAGAGCACCTGGAACAGTGCCTGGAATACAGCAGGCAGGCAACACAGATTTGTTGAAACACTAAACTGAATTTAGGATGCAAAATTGAAGAAGAAAAGGAAACATCCAGATGCTATATCACTCTTCTATTCCCCTTCAATAGAACTTGAAATGGAGTATTTGTTTGGATTGGTTTGCATTTGACCTTGCATTTTCTCTTTCTACTAAAAGTAAATTCATTTTCCAACCCTCCTATCTGACTTCACACCACGTGTTCTTCTCAAAGCCACCAGCAGCTTCCATGCTGTGAAACCCAGGGGCCACGAAGGTGTCTGCTCAGCACATGCCATCACACCCTCCTCCTGGGGACCACACCTGACGACCTTGCTCCAGCGCTGCACCTCTCTGACTTCCTTGCTCTCGTTTACTACAGTCTGCAAATATCTTATCTATTTGCACAGCCATATTGTTCAAAAATCTTATTCAAGACTCATGCCCAGCAGTCTCTGGCACTAATATTTTGAGCGAAGTTGATGACTCCTGGTTTTCTTACCCGGGGTAACTAGGTCTATGGCATGATGTCATCAGTTGAGATGAAGAAAAAAAGGAGAAGAAATGGTTTTGCAGAAAAGAGAAGTTCAATTTGGAATTTGTTCTATTTGACTTCCCTATACAACATCTCCATGGAAATACGCAGAAGGCCTGGGAACATCTCCATAGAAAGTTTCTCTGAGAGACTGAGTAAAGATGGAGATTTTGTAAACAAAGACCATAAATATGTCGACAGGGAGTGGTATCTTTTTAGTTTGACAATTTTGGTCATAGTCTTGATTTTGCCCTATTATTTCCAATCAGATCATTCATGAAATCTTTTCGTTGATTTGAAGTGAGGAAAGCAAATTGGGCTTGTGCTATTTTACCTTAAGTATGTTCTCTAGTTTTCTAGGAGAGAAAATAACATATGTAATAAAAAGGTTTTTATGAGAGATGCATAGGTGAAGGTAAACTGAATAATTTTTTATGGAAATCCTGGCTTTATATTGCAGGAATGTTTTCACTTGCAAAAATGTTTTGTTTGTTTTTTTGTTCTGTTTTTTTGTGTGTTTTTTGTGTGTGAGTGTGTGTGTGTGTGTGTGTTTTGTCAAGTATTTCAATACCCCATTATGAATGCAAAGGACTTTTTATAATCATTTTTTTGTTCTATATAACACATTATTATTTCAATTGTATAAATCTGGGAACTGGGATCATGTTTATATAGCAGAAATAAATGAGGTGTGTTGTAGCAACATGGGTGCGTTTCCTCTTAAATTATCTGAATATAATGCAGCTAACAAGGTCTGGCTGCCATTTTTTTTAACATACACATATACACACAAGGCACAGGGAACAGTAAATGTGTTGACATGGCTACACAAAATCCAATCAACCCACTGACTGCCAAAAATAACCCCACCAACCAGGTTTTTTTAATTGTGTGAAAACAATAGCTGGCTTTCTGGCTTATCCTCTGTATAAAACGGACCACTTCAGTGAAACTTCATCATGTACAAATGCGGATGTGAGAAATTATCCAGCGGATGTTACTCCATCTTTAAAACGTCACTTTACATAGGCATCCAAATATACAGATATATTTGCTTTTGTTATTAACTTGTTTCTATAAGGGATCTGATCAAATCTAATTGGAGCAGCTCCAGAGATCCATGTACTACATAAATGACGAGAATAACAATGGTAGGACGGACAGACATGATTGTGAGGAGGAACAGGCCAATTACCTGAGGTCACTCTCAGCGGCTGCTCTGACAGGTCATCTTCACAGGCCCTGGCTCCCAAAGAGGCAGATTCTGCAGGGACATCGGAGGGAAAGGTGGTCAGCTCTGCAGTCACAGCCAACATCACAAGAATCCCGTTTGGCTTCCAATGACAGAAGTGTGTGGAGGGGCTCCGGGGAGTCTTAGGAACATCTTACATCCTAGTGAGCAGTGGTTAGCAAGATGAGTCAGACAGGGGTGCCCTTAGATCAAATTTTTTATTTTATTTTATATATACTTTATTGATTTCTTACAGAGAGGAAGAGAGAGAAATAGTTAGAAACATCAATGAGAGCGAAACATCGATCAGCTGCCTCCTGCACACCCACTACTGGGAATGCGCCCGCAACCAAGGCACATGCCCTTGACTGGAATCGAACCTGGGACCCTTCAGTTCGCAGGCTGATGCTCTATCCACTGAGCCAAACTAGCTAGGGCTAGATCTAATTTTCGATGATGGGCAGTGCACAGTGAACACCAGATGTAGTTCAAATATAGAAGCAGGAAAGGCTCGTTGTGATTTTTCACCTCTCAGGTCTCTGGCCACGCCTACATGATCGTGGCCATAGCACATGACATAAGTTATGAGCATGCTTTTACTTCTGTGTCAAAGCAGCAAAAAACAATAGTAACAAAAAAACACCCCCTCAATATACTGTAGGGTAGCTGCTGTGAGACCAAAGCTGAAAACAGTCACTTAAGGAACCCTGAAGAGTATGTCCAAGCCATCGATAAAGGCCGCAAGGGACTCTGCTCTTTTATTTGAGCTCCACAGCAGAAGCCTGATTTACTCACCTCACCCCAAACACAAGTCATGCTTTCCATCCAATCCCATGCTTCCTTTGCATTCCTTATTGTAGGGGAATATAGAAAACCACGACTAGGCCTTAGAAATCAACACCAATACCTCCTTCTTTCTCCCTACTGAGTCATCACATGTTCCTGGTTCCATTTGACAATGTCCCCTGTCTCATTTGTTTCTCTGGTCCCTGTCACCTTTCATTCCTGGTAATTTCAGTAGTTTCCAGAGCAACTTCCCCGCCTCAAATTCCAATCAAATCTCTCATAATGTCTTGAGAGCTATTTTTTTTTTTTAAGAATACAGAATTGCATAAGCACAAATCCTGACTCAGCCACTTTCCAGATATGAGACCCTTGTATACCACTCAATCCCCTCATTTGTAAAATGCAGCTATAATCAGCAATTGCAAAAGAAAATAATACAAACATGATATGGTCTCCCAAGTGAAAGAGGCCAAATCTTATGGACAAACTTTTAAAAAGTGGCCACAAAATTCTTACACTGACAAAGACAGTCATGTTTATCTAGCAATAGCATCTCTGGTTGGTTCTGAAGGCTTTAATTAAACAAATAATTAACCTTGAAAATAGAAGTGCGCACCAAGGCACTATTATTGCATCTGCTAATTGTTTTTCCTCTTATATAAAACCTTTGGCCTTTGGTGGTAATCTACTTAAAAATAATACTATCAGTATAAACACTCGGTAGCTTCCCATCCCCCCCAAAAAATATTATGTTTTCTTGTAACTGTGTCTTACATTGGTCTGGAAAGGAAGAATTTATCCTCAGTCTTTGCTTATAAGTCCAGCAATAACTGCCAAACAGATCACAGTATTAATACCCAACCCATATGTCTCTCAGGAAGCCACCTTCTTCCTCACAATCCCCCCCTCTTTCCCTCTCTCTCCCTCCCTCCCTCTCTCTCTCTCTCTCTCTCTCTCTCTCTCTCTCTCTCTCTCTCTCTCTCTTGTTCTCTCTCTCTCTCTCTCTGTCTCTCTCTCTCTCTCTCATCATGATGCCTTGAGCAATGTTGTTCCTTGTATTTTTTAATATCTTTTTGTTTTCTCATGTTACACTCTTATTCTTCCCTCAAAACCCAAAGCAAGCGTCACCTCCTCCATGCTCCTGTAACAATTAGCTTCCACACATGTGACAGGAATTGGTGTCTGTTTTTGGAAAACAATTGAAAGAGCTTTGACTTTAGAGACCCAGGCTCTGGGATACTTTATGAAATTCTCATCTTGGTATTCATCTGTCTTAGGATGCTTTTATTCAAAATCCTAATCTATGCCCTATACCCTTACACAGATGACTACCAAAAAGACACTAACTCCTGACACATATTTGAATATGTATGCAAAACCATTTTCTCTTCTTTTCTAGCAAAAAAAATAGTCAAGGAACCCTTACTGCTTTACACACACACACCGATCATGCATTAAAGAGACTTGTTCAAATAGATATCTGTGTACTCCAGTGAGCTAGACCAAATGACTGCTCTCCTTAAAGACACATCAAAATAAAAATAAAGCCATGACAACTTAGTGACTGCGTGTATCTCTGCTGGGTACTGTGATAGCTATTTCGTATAAAAACAGATGCGAATTCCCCACAATCAAATCAGGAGGCTCTGGTGAATCCTTAGTTTACACGTCAGGCAGCTGGGCACAGGGGGTTGAGGTCGCCCTCTGTCCTTGGGCTCCGAGTGTGAGCCTGACTCGCTCGGAATGACCCCCAGGGGACCTGGGGCAAAAGTCTGAGGGATTTGGGATGTGTCCAGTCAGAAGAGCATGATATTTAGGAGCCTAGGAAAGTTTCCTATATTTGTGAAGGCCAGAAACCAAGAGGGGGCAAAAGAAAAAAAAAAACAACAACAAATCAACTGTTCACGAATCCTGCGAGCATCCTGATATTTTATAAAAGATTTACATCCTTTGAATATGAAATGTGACCAAATAAGCATCTGGTAGCACATGGAAATAATTCCATGTGAGAGTGGTTTAAGGAGATGTACAAAATGTCTAAACCAGAAACTGTTTTCTAACCTCACAAATTACAATAGGTTACGTGGCCCCGGAGCCGGCCCCAGTGAGAGTGACTAGGGCAAGTGAGTTCATAAATGAACGTCGTTCAGTGCGCCAGCAATTTTTTTTTTTTTTTAATTCTTAACAGTGTTGCTCCCTTTATATGAATGAAAACATGTTAATAAAGGAGCTTTTAGCTTACCAAACTGGTTAGCTTACACTTCTCTGCCAGTGTAAAATGAATTGTGTAAGATCTGGCAAGGACACACGCGGCATCTTTCAATATTTCCCTTGCATAATTGCTCTGTAATAACAAATCTGACTGCTGTTAACACGGCCTGTCCCTTTCCAAGGTGATTTAATTAGATTACTAATTTGTATTCTCTACCACCTAACCTTTCTAGTTTAATTCTATTAAAAATAGTCCCACAGACAGTTTACCCAGTGTTCTACTCTATCCTGTCAACTTGGCCATGAACACAAATTTGAGAATGGTACCAAATTACTCTATTTTGATTGACACGGCGTGGGCCACGCTTTCCTGTGGAATAGCATATCGATCATCACTATCATTGTTTTTTTCTTTTTTTAAATATATTTTATTATTTTTTACAGAGAGGAAGAGAGAGGGATAGAGAGTTAGAAACATCAATGAGAGAGAATCATCAATCAGCTGTCTCTTGCACATCCCTACTGGGGATGTGCCCGCAACCAAGGTACATGCCCTTGACCGGAATCAAACCTGGGACCTTTTAGTCCACAGGCCAAAGCTCTATCCACTGAGCCAAACTGGTTTTAGCACCATCACTGTTTTCAACAACACTTTCCAGGTGTGACGGATGGACACCCCACGCAGCTGGCAGAGCTAGGATTTGAACCCAGACAGCTTTATTTCAGGGATCATTCTCTTAACCGCAAGGACACACTGAGCCATGTATTTAAGATCCTAAAAGTCATTTTTCTCTTAATTCTGCAATTATTCTTCATATTCAACTTTCTCATTTGGCCTGATTCTATCCACCTATGCCTAACTCAAAGGGTTCCACTCCCAATACAATGCTTAAAACCTAAATTTTGGAGACTCCTCTTCCCTTTAATTGATGAGAATGAACATTCACACAGTTCTCTCTCATTTCCTTGCACTGTGACATCCCCTCACTAACTCTCCATCTCATTTCTCCTCCTGACCTTTCCCTTCCCTTATACAAATCCTCTTGATCCTAGTAAATAAACTGATAACATTCAGGTATCTAATCTTAGTTCAGAAATCAAGCTCTCATCTTCCAAGTCCCCACCCCCACCATAATCCTATATATAAAAGGCCAATATGCAAATTGTCCCCATGGGCAGGAGTTTGACAGACCGGAAGTTATATATGTGCTGACCACGAGGGGCGGTGCAGAACATGGCGGGCATCGGTGATGCACTGCTGACAGCGGGCAGCGATGGAAGCATTGCTGGCCCCAATGGGCTCCACGAGAGCGGGACTGTAGCAGGATGGCGGAGCAGGTAAGCAGGCAGTGACAGACCAAAGTGAATGCCAGCGGCCTCACCAGTGGCCCCCACAGACAGCAATCAGCAGTGGTGGCAGGGGGACAGGGCCATGAGTGAGCGGCATCAGGCCAAGGTAGGTGCGAGTAGGGGCCCTAATTGCCCTGCCAGTTGCCTCACAGATCAGCCCTGATTGCCAGCCAGACTTAGGGACCCTACCCATGCACAAATTTCATGCACCGGGCCTGTAGTTGGAATAATACATTTTTTAAAATGATAATCATTACAAACTGATGGTCAGGGAAGGATCTGGAATTTTATTAAATGCTCTAGATACATAAACAGAATTCTAAGTTTGAAGTTGTTTGTTGTGTTTGTGGAGTAAATGTAATCTAATCTGCACTTGATTATTGCACAGTCATGTGCTTTTTATATTCTTATCAGCAAAATTTGGGAAGCATCTGGCAAAAATTCAAGAGAAAATATAATTTTTAAAACAATGGGTGAATGTTTAAGCTATTGTACTAGGATGAGATTTGCCTACAAAATTTCCATGTCTCACCCCTACCACTGACTTGTTAATGCATCAAACAATAAGGCATATCACTATTTTTATTTTTTTAATTTTCATTATATTTTTCTGTGATTTCAGAGAGGAAGGGAGAGAGAGAGAGAAAGCTGGGAACATCAATGATGAGAGAGAATCATTGATCAAC